CTGAGAAGCACAGCTGGAATACACACATACCACCTGAGAGGACTAAAGAGAAAACTCCAGACTGTAAGAATTTTACTAGTTTTATTAAAAGTTAAATTTTATCATTATAACCACAATATACTCTCACAAATAAACCTTTTTTAAAAGAAAAAGTGTTTATTTGTTCAAGATAAATTTTAAAAAGCTGAAATTAAATTGGATATATGTCAAAATAAGTCTTGATTTCCAAAATTCTAAAGAAAAAATTAAAATTGTATGTGAACTTTTCTTTCTTTCAAAGAATGCAGAAAGAAAAAAACAGATGACTCTTACCAAAGTCTGTTTCTTCAATAGTGGAGCGTCGCCATCAAACACAAAAATAGGACGAATTCGAAAAAATAAGAGTTTGCAGAGCCGATGAAACAAAGTGAGAAGATGAGCATTTTCTATCGAGTTCCCATGGCGATCCCGGACTCCTTTAAGGGCTTGGTTTAACCAAATGCTAATATCTGTAAGAATTGTTAAAGGAAAATATTCTGGAATTTCTTCCCTCACCGTCACAATTTCAATTTCTAATAACTGATATCATCCAAACATTGAAACTAAGTACTCATCACAATTCATTTGAAATTGAAAAATGTTTAACCCTGAGGGAATCTACTAAAATCAGTTAACTTTATTTGAGCCCTTGTTACTACTATTCACAGACTGAATTTTAAAATTGTACATAGACAGATGTATCCTTTAAAAGGTCTAACTGCAAGGAATTGCTTCTTTAAAAAAACTAATCATCTCTACAGATTTTTAGTAAATTAACACAACTCTTTTGGAGAACAATGTGGCAATTCATAGCAAACAACTTAAAAACTTGCATTCTGTTTTACCTAAGAATTCCACTACCAGACGTCTAGCCTCAGGAAATCACCACAGATGCACAATATGAATTACTCAAAAGAACGCCCGCTTATGATAATGAAAATATGAAAAAGTAACAACGTAAACAATGTTTACCGAAAAACGTAAAACAATGTTTAAGAATAATGTAAAAGTTTTCCAACAGGTCTTTTTTTAAAACCAAATTATGATATACTGATTTGCTGGAATACCAAGCAGTCTTTAAAAATGAAAGTTGCAGAAGCATATACAGTGATAAGGAAGACAATCACAAAGCATTATTAAAACAAGTAAAACAGGTTACAAAGTATGGAAAGTATAATTCCCTTTTGTAATACATGCAATATGTTAAATATAAAAAACTAGAAGTTCAGACATCAAAATATTAAGAATAGTTATCTCTGCTGTGATTACAAGTAACGTATGTTTTCTTCTTGGAGTTTTCTTATATTTTCAAGAATGCTTTTTAACAAATTACTTTCTACTTGTTCATAAAACAGAGGGACATGGCACTGCTGGTTTTCCTGCTCTCAATCTCTTTGCCGGCTCCTCTAACTCACCATTCAAGTGCTGACTTCAGCAGTGACCTCCCTCAGGCCCTCTTCTTTCCTCCTGTCTGCACCACCTGCCCAGCCTAGCTCAGCAGCCCCATACCACACCCTCTTCTTATGTGCATGCCTGCCCCAGAGCTCTCTCCTGACCCCCACATCGAATGGCCTAGCTGACAACTCCTGATGCCTCAGACATTTCAAACTTAACATGATCAAAACTGAACTCCGTGTCTTCTCACTAGACTGCTCATGCCCCCATTTCAGTGACGGTCACTTCCATTCACCAAGCCAGAATTCCCGAATACTCCCCTCATCCAGCCACTACCAGGTCCTATCAACTCTACCTTCTAATCTATCTTGAAGGTACGTATTAGATTTCACCAACATATCTTTAGTGAAAACCCTTCAAAAACTTCCCATTGCTTTGTGGATAATATCCACAACTTCTTCCCAGGGCCCATGAGCACTGAATGATCTGGCCTCTGCTCATTTCTCCTATCTCATTTCAAGCCACTGGGTTTTTCTCAAATCCTGGAAATCACTAAGCTCCTTCCTGCATCCAGGGTCTTCTGACATGCTCCTTCCTCTGCCTAAAGCAGTTTCTCCTTCTCTTGGCCTAGTAATCTCCTACTTTTAGGTCTCAGTCTATGGGTCACTGCCTCAGCCTAGATAAAGACCTCCAGTTACACACTCCTATTCAAACACATCTTGCTTACTATGTAGTAGAAATCTTTCTACGCACTGGGGGATACAGCACTGAACAAAACAAAGCACCTGCCCGTATGGAGTTTACAAACTAGTGAGGGAAGAGACCAGACTGTGAGCTCCACGACTTGTCTAGACCACACTCTGTGCACTGCTCTCCCTTTCACAGGGCAGGCGGGAGGCAACAAAGATCTGCTATTAAATAAGTTAAGCAGTTAAATATTAAAGTGAACGTACATTACCTAGCTTACTACCATAAAAAAATCAGGCCTATCAACAATTAATAAAAATTATGTAACAACATAACTAGTGGAAAGTTAGCTATTACTATGTTCATTCCTATAACACTTGAGTGCTACTATGTACCAGGTGTATCCAAGATCCTAGTGATAGAACAGCAAATAACATAGCTGTGAACAAAATAGATATAGTCCCTATCCCTAAGAAGCTTGCATTCTAATGGAGAGAGACAATTAAAAAATCAAGTAATAGCTATATAACATGTTAGGTTGTCACTAAGTGCCAAGAACAAAATAAATAGAGTAAAAGGAAGAGAGAATGATTGGGGTCAATGGCTCTTAGTGAGGGAAAGCCTATCCAAAGAAGCAACAGAGACCTGAATGAACAAGAGGAGTGACGGAATAAACTCTCAACAGGAACAGCAGGGGCAAGAGGAACAGCAAATTCAAACGCCCTGGGACAGAAACACACTTCCTCCGTTTAAGGACAATGTGGCAAGAGCACAGTGAGAGGAGAGATAGTAGAAGCTGATGTGTGCGTACAGCCACTGGAAGGTTTCTAGAACGTGACCTAAGGGTCACCCCGGTAGGCATGTGAAGAATAAACTATAAAGAAACCAGTTTTAAAACTAGTTACAATAGCCCATGTGAACACGGATGGCAATGGTGGAGATGATGAGAAGTGGTGGGATAAGGGATCCATCTTAGAAATAGGATTTGGTGTTGACTTAGCTCTGTATTGCACTGGATAAATGTTTCTGCTTGCTACAGTACTATATCAGATTAAACAAGTTTCTACCTAGCCCATTATTTTAGATTTTATAATCAAATGAGAAAATCTAATTTCAGATCTCAACTCTGCTATCCTTCAGAACTGGTTATGAAGCTTCTGAAACACAAATTACTAAATCTAGATATTCCTGAAACTCTAAATCATAGACACTGAGATGGGTCTTTTTTTTTTTAAATTAATCATAGGTAGTGCCAATTCTCAACTAGGGCTGAGAGTTCCAGCATGAGACTCTTAAAGAAGAAATATGTAAAATTAGGTAATCTGAAAATGTCTGCATAATTCGTCATGTCTAATTTCAATAAGTTTATCAAAGGCAACATTAAACTTATTCCAGGGCTCAAAAAGTTAAATCTGCAGCAAAGCCAAAAATCATTTTACAGATAAGACCCAAAGGACCAATAACATTTTGAAATAAAAAATAAATTACTTTAGTTCTATTGTTAGATGACTGAAAATTTAATTAATCCCAATTAGTATGCATAGCCTAGAGAGACTTAAAAGCATTTTACAAATGTTAAGGTCTATAAGAGACAAAAGTTAAAATGTTAATTTTTTATTATTTGACAAAGACATTTTGATTGTATAAATAAATAACACACTCAGCTATAGATGGTTAAAAGGCCAATAATTTATTATAGGGATCCAAGAGTAAAATACGAATTTGGTATAGTTATGGGTAATTTCTTCATCAACAAATAAAGTTAAAAAAAAAAAATCTGAATATATTTCAGATATTTGAATTTAAATTCCCAAGAAAATGAAACAAAGAAAAGTCAACTGTAGAACAAGCAATCAAATATTCTCCTTTAACATATATATACACACACACACATCTACATGAGGTTATCATTCTAAGTGGAATTATCTTTGACAGTCCTTTTTAAATGATTCCTTCTCTCAGAAAAGCCTAATAACCTCATTAAAATGACTTCAAGCCCCAAAACAGCCTCTGATCTAAAAATAGATAAACTAAATGCTTTACCTTTCCTTACCTTGGACAACCTACCAAAAAATTAGAATGCTGAATTTTATGTGTCATATCAATGATTTACAAATTATTAATTCTTCATACCAGCTGCAAAGTAAAATGACCTAAATCTTTGCTGAAGTTTTAAGGGTTCCTGTCACTGAAAACTGTCCTTTCTTTCACATATAGTTGTATGAAGAAAATCTTTACAAAGCAGTGATTTGAGGATCCAATAGAGGGCAGCAACAGCACATGTGCTTTAAAAAAAACCTTTTCCTTTCCCCGACCCCAGCAACTCTGCATACAAACTTTTAAGTAAGCCAAAATTCATTATAGATGTATGTCAAGATTACTCACTTTGCAAAAACCTATAATCATCATCTTACTTTATTTAAAAAATTATCAACGTTCCATTATGTATAAGTTGTCTACAAATTAAACAACAATGGCTCCTCAGTCAATGGCTCCTTTCACTGCATTCCAACTTACTCCTACATTGTATTTACCACTGGACAGCAATTATTAATATACGCCTCTCTTCCTCACCCAGCGTATGAGCTCCTAGGCTCACAGGTTCCCACTTAGGGAACTGGTGTAAGGTACCATCAGCTTCTCAAACAGAATACACACTCAAAAAAAAAAAGAAGAAAGCTTGAATAAAAAAACCAAAATTTTGGAAAAACCATTCATGTTTTTTGTTTGTTTTTTGTGAGGATGATCAGCCCTGAGCTAACATCTGCCAATCCTCCTTTTTGCTGAGGAAGACCGGCCCTGGGCTAACATCCCTGTCTGTCTTCCTCCACTTTATGTGGGACGCCGCCACAGCATGGCCTGACAAGTGGTGCGTCCCTGCGTGCCGGGATCCGAATCCCGGCCGCGGCCGCTAGGCCACTGGTCGGCCCCATTCACATGTTTTGATGATGAAGAAAATCATTTAATTCTAAAGACACACAAAAAAAACCCAGCCAAACACGCACACAAACAACAGTCCTTAAAAAGTCCATCACAGGGCTGGGAGGAAAATAATCCACTGCATGACTTCTGAAATCTTTTCAATGTTGTGCAAATGTTGTACAAATGTACAAATGTTGTTCCATGTTGAATTTCGTATTCCAAAAATCTTAATTAAAAATAATAAAAGTTATATACATATACAGTCAAACGCCTGTCTACAAACATACATGGAGCAAGACTCAGGACAGCAGGCAAAACTACCGGAAGTCCGCTTCGTTTTCTCCATGCTGACCTCCCAGCTAGGATAATACTGGGATTATTAATACTCGGATTAAGATTTACAATATTAACAGTGTCAGGCACTCTTCTTAGCTTCTTTCATTTAAATAATCCCTTTATTCCTCATACCAACCCTGTGTAGAGACTATCATTGCCTCCACTTTCCACATGAGTGAACTAAAGCATAAGAGGCGCAAAGCACCGCCCCTAAGTGAGAAAACCAGAACTCCGACCCAGAGCAGTACGACTGCAAAGCCGGAGGACAGTGGACATTTACAAAAAAGACGTCCTGAAGAAGAGTCTCGAGTTACCCCGGGGTGAGGCCGTCATCCCACCAACCCTGCTCTGCGCCCGCCCCAGAGAGACGAGAGGGGGGGCAATCCTGACGCGCATCACTGCATCCCCAGCACCGACGCTGCGTTAAGGATACCCACGGCGAGGATCTTCCCTTCCAGCGTCTCCGGGCTGACCTGCCGCCCTGAGCACTCGAGCAGCTTCCAGAGGCCCTGCACTCCCATGAGTGTCCTCGGAGCGCAACTCGGGGGTGGGGTCGCGGGAGACCTTTTATTCCAATTCTACAACCAGCTGCACCACCGCCCCGGACCCCGGGAAGAGCTCCCCCTGCTCCCAATCAGCAAATATGGAAAACAATAAAGAGCCAGCAGTTTTCCAGGGAAAACCAGCACCAGCGGGAACGGCACTTTCCAGCGGCTGACACTGCCTCCCGGAAGCAGGACGGGACCAGAGAATGGCCGGCGGGGAGGAGAAGGAGCAGGTCTTCGTCTCGCGCAGCGCTTTGGCCCAAATGTTTACGCTCCAACGGAAGACCGGGCCGAGAGGACAGCTCCAGCAAGACAAACAGCCAAAAGACTTCACCACGCCACTGCCTAGCGTCTTCTCGAGTGAGTGCCTAAACCCTCTCGAAATGAGGCCTCTCAGCTTCCGTCTAGTACGACGCGCAGGGCGGAAGTCCTGCCTCACCGCGCTGACGTATATTTGCGGCGCCTTTGCACTCCGGAAGCGAGGGGGCGGTTCAGCAGCAGGGTCCGTGTGCTCTCAGTGCGGAGCTTCCTCCACTGGCGTCCTGTGGCGAGTCAACGTTGAAGCGACGCGCTGGGGGGCTACTTGCTGAGGTGACGGTTTCCTACGAGCTTCTTTAGGTATCAGTTTCTCGCCACTGGGCCGCCAGTTGTGAAAACTCTTAATACTAAGTGTTGTTTTACGTGTAAGGCGACAACAGAAAGGTAGATGCTTTGTTGGGGTTTTTAAATTAATAAGTATTTGTCCGGTAATTTGTAGTGACTGGATAGTAATACGATTTAAAGCCTTGACCCTTGAAATAGAATTTAGTTTTCTCTGGCATCTAAAATTTAGGATTCACGGCTTGTCGGTTTGAAATGACAAGAAACTAATACCAGAGTAGGTCCTGGAAAGGCGGTGGCTCTGGACGCCTCGGGCCAGCGCTCAGATCCCGACCGCCCACGTTATGTTGAGCATTGTCCAAGTAACATTTGTTCAGAACTTCTGTTTCTTCATCTGTAAACTGGGCATAAAACCAGTCTTGCAGGCCCTTAGCTAGGGTCACACGAGATATATGCGCAGTACTTACCACTAGTAGTTACTCAATAAATGAGTCTTATATTGGTTCAAATTTGAACTATTGAAACTAGATTCAAACTCAGTGGAAAGGCTGATTTAGATGAACAGGTAATTTTGTTAGAGGAATCCTTTATGACAAAACTATGAAAAATTAGTTTTTGGCAAAACCATTTCTACGCCCAAACAGATGGTTCACAGCAGCCGCGTTTAGTTGACCTAGTCACAACTGATAGTCTTATCAGGGGTAATCCTGACAACGTGCTTGTTTGCGTTAACTCCATGTGTGAAGTAATTCCCAGAAATTGTTCCCAGTTGTATTTTACAGAGATTGAGATAATTGCCTATTCAATTTTTGTCTCCCCCCACGGTAGAGTGTAAACTTTTTGAAGCCAAGAACGATTTTGTTGACTGGTATGTCCCCCGCTCCTGATGTTTAGCAGGGAGTCCCTAATTAGTCTAAATGACCTCTTTCAGCTTCTAGTCTCAGGCTCTCCAGTGCATCTTTGCACCCTGCTGAAAGAGAGTTTCCTCGGAAGTCAGGCAGATGTTAATCCAGATCCTGTCTGAGCCACATAGTAACCCTGTGTTAATGAGCTGAATTGTGTCCCCCTCCGAATTTCATACGTTGAAGCCCTAACCCTCAGTACCCCAGAGTGTGACCGTATTTGGAGCTAGGGCCTTTTAAAAGGTGATTAAGTTAAAAAGAGGCCCTAAGGGTGAGCCTAACAATCTGACGGGTGTCCTTATAAGAAGAGGAAATTTAGACACACAGACACCAGGCATGTGTGCATAGAGGAAAGAGCATGTGAGGACACGGTGAGAAGGCAGCCATCTGCAAGCCAAGGAGAGAGGCTCAGGAGAAACCAAACCTGTCAACACCTTGATCTTGGACTTCTAGGTTCAAGAACCATGAGGAAATAAATTTCTGTTGTTTAAGCCACCCAGTCTGGTATTTTGTTATGGTAGCCCTAGCAAACTAAGACACTCTATGATCCTGAACAAGTTTCTTCACCAAGGAGAGTCTGTGAATAAAATGAAGATACCAGTGTCTTCCTGGGGTTGTTCTGAGATCAATGATTTAACATGAAACACCTAGCAGGTAATGGTGCTTAAATCAGTTTGTTGAGTGAATGAGGGAGAAAATACTGGGTAAAACTGAGATATACAATGTGATGGATCCTAGAGCACCTTGCCTGAGCCCCTGCAGTGTCTGGGAGAAGGCAAGTTAGGAAGTGTTACAGCTGCTGCACCAGCTTGGCCTAATGATAGAGCATAGTGATGGGAAAAGGAACAGTTTCAGGATATGATAGAAATGAACATGTTTCACTACCTGAGAACTGGGTAAAAACAAATAGCCAATGTGTGCATTTGAGTACTATGAGTGCTTTTAAAACCAGAGCAACATTTCTTGAGTACAAAATATTTTTTTGAAAGAACAGCAACTAACAGGTGTATATTTGATCTATAAGGAATTGGCTCCTTTAGATGCTGTTTAAAGGGCTCTCTATCAAGATTCAGAATAGTAAAATACACATCTTTTGGAATAATAATAATAGCAAGCACTTAAATAGCAATTCCTATCTGCAAAGCACTGTTCTAAACACTTTACATGTATTAACTTATTTAACAATTTATAAAATAGATAGTGTTATCCCCATTTTACTAATGAGGAAATAAGCACAAAAAAATTAATCTTAGCTTGCCCGAGGTGATACACCTAGTAAGTGCACAGCCAGTATTCAAACTTTCAGTGCTTCTACAGAGACTCCTAAGAGTTGACCAAGAAATTAAATATGACAGGAATGTTACTAATCTTGAAAGAGAAGTATACAGTAACTTGCTTATAGTTTCTGGAAGAGTAGTCTTTAGTTGTTCTTAATAATTGCCAGACTTGTAACCCAAGTTATTAAGTGATCATATATATGAAGACTTTTATAAAATAGTTTATGGCCAGTAAGTAAACTGTATAAACTCATCCTCTCTTCTTAGGTGTCACTGTATTCTTTATTTTATGCTGCAGTTGTCTCCTTTTCTTCTGGCTCTTCCTGCCTACCTCTTCTCTGAAATATTTGGTCAAACTGTGAAATTGCTGATATTTAACTATGTTTAACATATTAAAATGAAGCTTCATTTGGTTCCAGCTAATATAAGAACTAAATTTTCTACTTCCTATTATAAAGTCTTATAGAAATCTAAAGTTATAGTCATCATAATGCATATTGTTTCATTGATTATAAAAGATACAAGATGGTTTCTTATAACACACTACTTAGGCAGAACTGTCATGTACTTCAAACAGAATTATAAGGGTACTCCCTACCTAAAACAAAGGTTCAAAACATTCACATGATTAAAAGTAGAAAACAAAACTTTATTTGATGAAAACTTATTACAAGTTCCAGTGTGAAGTAACAAAATCAACAACCTACAAATCTCTTTCAGTCCTTTGCGTTTCAAGCAAAATATTCTCTTCAGAAAAATGACCATTTCATAATATATATCCCCTTCTGGAGGCTAGGCATGTCTGAGTGGATAAATGGATATAAAATTCAAAAGAGAAGAAAATGAATATATTTTAAAAATAAAAATCTGAACCCTCTCCTTGAGGTGTATTGCAGTATGGTTACCAACATATTCAGCACCTTGTAATAATCAAGTTACTGATTTGAGTCCTGGAACAGCCCCTGAAATGAAAGAACAAGAGATCCTAGTCCTTCGTGAGTCAGGTTGACAGCAGAAGAAAATTTGACAGCAACAAGACAGAAGCTCAAATATATGAAATCCACAGTTTCTGAACTATTCAACACTCACTTCAAACAGCTAATTGTCTATATGGTTTTAAAAAGGAAACAGCTCAGAGTTTGGAATATGGATAGTTGCCCTCTGAGTGACGTGGCATTCTAATGCATCTTTACTGCTGTTATCAACAGATGACCCACACTGAGGGGCCAATCAAATAGCGAAGATCTCATTCACAGATTACCTTGGGTATAGAAACTTTGGATGCCACTTCTTCTTTTAATCTATCCCTAAAACAAGGTTTATTGTAGACTTACAGAAGTCTTTCAAGACCTAAAGTTCTTGTCAATATTGGATAGTAACACACCAAGTCAAGAAAATCAAGAATATCCTGAATCAATGCACTAAGTCACCCATTTGCACCAATAGAAAAGATCAGTTTCTTGTATCTTTTCTCTTTTGCCTCTTTATTGAGAATCCTGAGAAAGTTAACCAGGAAAGAAATGAGGCAGGCAAGATACTGTTACAAGTAAAAGAATTACTAGACTCACTAAATAATTTGAAATGAGCTTTAACCATGAGAAAAAACTAGAAATCAACAGCCCCAATTAAAAAAAAAAAAGGCAGAAGGTGCCTTACATTTTGAGCTTAGGAATAAAACTAGCAGCAACAAATGTCTGGGGATCAAGTCATAAGAAATCATTTCATGCTTAAGTATTTCAAATCCTGATTGAACTGGAACTAGGCTATTAAGTGAATTTGTGTTTGATTTGTTTATATGTAATTTTATTGGATTTTGTGAAATTGTTCAGAATGTTTATATACTTTTAAATTTAAAAGGACAATAATCTGTGCTTATCTGCTTGTATATCTGAAATCACCCATCATAATCATATACAAGCTTATTTACTGGAGAACTACAAGGTTATGTTTCGTACCACAAGATCTGTTCCTATTTAATGTAGACTTAATAAAATCTTCTACTGTCTTGATGCAGTCCTGTATAGACTGGTTGTGTGTGTAACACGAGTTTTTCAGTACCCAGCATAGTCAATCATTCCCATGATAATCACTGTAACGCTGGTAGCCACTGTTCCTTCTCTCATGGATACTGGACATCTTTTTCCATGCCGAATCCTGATGGAAACTAGCACTGAAAGACCGGCCCAGATGCCCATGCTGCTTCTTGGAGATATTGTCTTCACTCTCAGATTTGGCAATTCCCTGGCCACGTGTTGGAGGTTGTGATTCTTGTCTAATGGTTCCAAATGGAAAGTTCCAAAGGCCAAACCTTTGCCAGTTAAGTCTCTGGAATGCTATAATGCAATGCAAATTTCCCCCAACCTGAGAAGAAGAAAAAGTTGGGTTAAGAAAATGATGGGAAATGAATTCTACTAATATGTGGGTTCCTATGAATTCTCTTATTTTTTGCCTCTTCTCAGTACTTACCATTTTAGACATCATCATACCACATTATCCTGCATCTTTCCTGACCAGCTGACTTTACAAAAATAACAATGCCCACAGGAGCCAAAACACCTTCCCTTATAAGCCTTCCTACCGCTCTTCACACTCTCACCTCCTCATCTGCCTAATCCAAACAGCAAGATCATTCCTCTTCCTCTCTCTCTGATACCGTCTTCATATGGCAGTAGGATTATGTCAGTGGGATGTCTCCTCAGTCCACAGAATCTACCTTTCCCTGAGAACTGCCCCCAGCAACCTTGTGGGCACACATGGCTCTGCCACACACATGGCTCTGCCCCGTGGGTACAGTTAATTTGTCTCAGGAGTGAACACCTGACCCAAGCTGGGCCAAGACTGGAACTAGGCCTAAGGCAGGCCAGTCTCAGTCTGGACTGTTCATCTGGAAGAGAGACATAAAGATGATAATGATCTTTAGGAAGTAAGTAATCAGACAAAAAGAGAAAGACAAAAAAGAGAGAAGAGAAGACATAAAACTCCCAGAAGAATGAGTCAGACTAGCTACTTGGACCCTGCTAACATTCTTTTAGCTGGTACCAGTCCCCTCTGACTCCAAGCTATACACCTTGCCCTTCCGTTTTAAAGATACCCCTGTGTCCTTAATTTTCACTTTTCTGTCTAAGAAAGTCTGAACTGGGTTTCTGTTATTTACAAACCAGAACCTACAGTGCTGAGTAAAATACTGCATTGTGGCCACTTGGGAAATACCTTCACATACAATGGTGTTCTTACCTTCTTTGTTTTTCGATACTGCAGCCCCCTCTCTAAGTGCCGGATATCTAGATATTCTGGATTTTGAGTGTTTAGATCAGTAACGATATCTGCCCATCTGTAGTTAAGGGGGAAGAATAAAGCACAATTTTCTTTAAGTATGAAATACCACTGTAATGGAAGTTTTCACATGAGCAGTTTGCTACAATATTACTGTGGCAGTAATTCTCTTAGGATTGTTCCACCAACTAAGCTTTAATAAATTCTTATTTTTATGACAATTCTGTTTATCCAACTATTGCCAAGGTTCTCAGTTTAAAAATGATTCCTCTCCCTATGAAGTAAATAGATATCAACCTGTTAGGTGACATCCTGCAGGCTAAAATAGAAACTTTCCATATTTCCTTTTTAATTAGAGTGGAGTATATTTTCAAAAGATTTAAAAGTTAACATGTCTTTCTTTACAGACAACATGATTGATTGTGTATGAAACCCAAAGCAATTACAAATTTCTTTGTATTGCAAAACTGTTACTAGAACTAATAAGTGCATTTGGTAAAGATGCAAGGTTTAAGGCCTATATAGAAAAATCAATTGTATCTTTGTACACTACCAAAAAACAATTGGGAAATGAATTTTTAAAAAAATCAATTTATAATACCATCGAAAAAAATAACAGGTAAAATTTTAATGAAATACATATAAAATTCTATATTGAAAAATACAAAACATTTCTGAGAAAAATAAAAGCTTTAATTAAGTGGAGACACAGTCTGTGTTCGTAGATTGGAAGATTCCATATTGTGAAGATGTAATTCTCCCCAAACTGAACTATGGATTCTATGGATTCTATCCTAATCAAAATTCCAACAGGCTTTTTAGCAGACATTGAAAAAAAAGGAAGTTAACATACTTTTTACAATGAATAGCAGGATGTTTTCTACTTGATTCTCCAATTAAGATCCAGTATTCTACTTCTTGTGGTGAGAGGGGCCCCCTGCTAAATATGAAATACATTCACAGTAAGCTTAGTAAAGGTCACTTGTTCCCTTGAAAATATTGCTTCAACTATATATTAATAAAAGATAAACTAAAGTTCATTCAAAGGTGGCATTTGTTAATGCTAGAATAGATATTGGAGTTCAGGCTTGAGCAAATGTCTGAAGGCCATTAAAGAGAAAGCATAAATTTAGGCCTTGATCCCCTATTACTAAATCTAGGGCTAAATAAGTTGAAATATACCACCTCTCAGCATCTAGGAGGGGAAAAAAAAAATCCTAGCATGCTACCAGCATGTTTCAGCTACTCGTCTTTCACTATGCATTCAAAAAGTTTCAAAAGGCATCCTAAAAATAAAACCTTAAAGCAGCAGTTCACCTGTGGAACTTTTAAATCTACTGATGCCCTAATCCCACCCCTAGAAATTCTAATTCAAGTAGGTCTGGAGCGGAGCACAGGCAGGGTTTACACAGATTTAAAAGCATCTCAGGTGATTCTTAGGTACAGGCAGAGGTGAGGAACTCTCGTCTAGAGGGTACAAAGTAGGAATACCTACTTTTTCTTGTTTTACATTTGACAGATGCCTGGAGTAAGGTGAAGTTGCAGAATGAAACCATAGAAGAAAAGCAATATACCTCACCTCCAGAGAGACAAATAAAGCATTTCAAGATTTGGAGACACCAAGTAGTTTCTCTCTTGCTCCTCATTGACAAAAATAAAATGTGCAGCTTCCCAGTTCTGCCAGCTTGCTCCTGCCTGTCTCAGGATTCCCTGCCTGACCACCCCACCTCCCAAAGTGCCTTGACTCAAAGGCCATACAGCCTCCAGCGTCAAAGAACCTATCCTATCCCCGAGATGACGAAGCCATGTTCTCCCAGCCTGACCTTCGGCCCTCACTAAGAGAACAGCACTGCGTTGTCCTCTTCCTCAATTACCAATGCCATGGACCCAGGTGTGAACAAACCAGAACCTTAGCTGGGTGAGAATAACTGTGCCTACTGATACTTGAAGGCAAAGTATTCATGGCTTCTATTCTCCCATTCTCAAATAGGAGACTGTTCCTTTGCTTTTAACTGCCCGGGCATTATCTCAACCCATGATGAAGAAAACTGGCTAAGGAGGAAACAAGTATTAAAATTCAGTCACCCTCTCTTATTCATGCACTGTCTCTTCTAAAAAGGTACAAGTTTACTTGTATGTAAACATACAGATAATTTAAAATACATTAAAATATTTAATTTAAAACATTTAGGAAATGCTTTTTAATGTACTCAGTTGTGACAGTCTTCTTGACACCAGATTCCATAGTACATTTTCCACATGAGACGCTGGATGAGGACGTAATGTAAAGTCCTTTGCGATCGTTTTATAATAAACATACAAGTGATTTTTCAAATGACTTTCTCTTGTCATGATTCTGAACAACAGTATCTAAGTGGATAATGTAAAAGCACAAGTAACCAAATGCAACTCTGCAAAAGAATAAGCTCAGTTTAAAGAATAGTCTTACTTGATGTAAGGAAAGCAAAGCACCAAGTCTTCCAATTTCTAAGCACTAAATATTTCTTAAACGCTTTCTACAACACATTTTCCTGGTGAAGTAGCCACATAAAGTTTGGAAATGCTTACCTGAAGGCTTTATTAGCTTTAACAGGGGTTGCTTCAAAGCCAATTGGACAAAAATAATGATTTTGGCAATGATAGATATAAGCCAGCGATTCATCTTTCAATCCATGAGTTAACTTTGACAACGCCCCTGAAGCTACAAAAAGCAAAAACAGAGGGGCCATAAAGCACTTTTTATTCTTCATACAAACAACTAGTTAAGAACTGAAAGACAAAAAAGACATGACTCAGGACACACTGACATTACTGGGGAAAATGAGAAGCTATTGATGATGCAAAATTAATGAATTTATTTTCAGTTTTACCCTGTAGACTGAAATTCAGATAAATTGAATCGCAAACTGAAGAACTGAAATATGTCCTTGCTTACCAAAACCTAATAATACACATACTTGTCTATGAAATTTAATTACCATATAAAACCAAATACCTAGTGTATACAGCAATGGTCTCAGCTTTTCTGGTTGTGCACATCTGTCACTAGAAATTTCTGAATAAGCATGCCCATTATAAGCATTTTTGTTTATAAACTATGTGCATATACTACTGTACTAATATGCCTTTATAAAAGATACACAAAAAGTAGGAGTTTTAAATTAGATTAAAATATAGACATTCCAATATGTTCTTCCCACACCACGGTGATCACCTTGTACAGCTCCTGTAGTGGGTACATCCCAATTTGAAGACCACTGAGGTATGTGGATAAATATAAATTCCAGATAATAAAGTTATAAAAATGGAAACTTTCCCCCACTAACACACAATTGAATCTTTCTACAAAAGTTACACAGACTAAAGGAAAAGCTTTCACAAGCCAAGTGATGAGATAAGAACATCTCTGGAGACAGACTGATAGTACCACCGCATCCTCTTATAACTGCTCCTCCTTGTATATTTCCCCATAGCTATATTAGTTGTGAAGTAATTTCAAAAGTATTACCATAAGAAAGAAGTTTTTACCAGCATTCAATACTTAAAGCCATTAACTGAGGTTTCATTAACTTACATCTCCTGGAAGAAACTAAATTATTCATGAACAAATAGCCCATTAAAACTGAAAATCCTAAAAATAGTTGAAGCAGGTGAAAGCTTGCAAGTCATGGTTTCTCTGATTGACTTTCTGACCACTGAAATAGTTGATGACCACTAAGAACAGCAGGTCAATGGCTATAGCAGAGCCAAGGAGGCGGCACCCCACCCCCACCCCTGCAGACACACACACTTTGTGAGTTTAATGGAGACAATAACATTTCTGTCTTAAACTCTTTCTCCAAAGTTTCATCTTGACCTTTCCCATAGATTTTTCCTTCATGGCCTCATGGCCTACCTTCAGAGCATACCTGCACGGCAAGGCAATATTTTCTACTAAAATCTCTATTTCATAGTGATAAATAAGTCTGTCTGCAGTTTTTGGTTGAGTTCCCCTGACAAATTAAAAATTTAACACCCAAGAGCAGCTCTAAATTAAGAATTATAAGAACTAAAATTCAGAAGGCCAATATTTCATTTTCAGAGCTGAACTTGATTGTAGATAGGTTCTAGGATAGTAAGCAAATGTAAATATATGGATTTATACTCTTCCTAAAATTCAATAAATACAAAAGATGTTTATACACAAAATTGGATTAGAAAAAGCTCTTCAAATCTTTTAAAAATTATGAAAATGCCAAATAAGTTTTCCCAAATAACTAAAACTTTTAATAAAAACTTTTTGTTATAACTTTTTAATGGAAATCTTTAAGTATTTCACACTGTCCTCCTTTCTTAAGTTAAATGTAATACAGAACAGCTGACTTCTTTAGTGTGACAATGAATAGTAATTACTTAAATGTCGTGGAATATATTCAGGATTTCAGGGGCAAATGAGAGAGGTAAGGAAGTTTGCTCTTATTAATTCTCACATAATTTTATCTGCCGCAAATAACTCTGACCATGTCCTAGTTTTTAGAAGACATGAGGTGGTTTTTCTTCTATGGAGTAATGGTGTTTATGGGCTTAGTGCTACTCAGGATGTTTTTTCGCCTTACTTCAAAGTACATAACATTCTGATTGATTTAGATGAGAGATCAGCAAACTTTTTCTTAAAGGGCCAGAGACAGTAAATATTTGAGGCTTGTGGGTTGCAGGCACTACTCAACTCTGCCATTATAGTAGGAAAGCACCCAGAGACAAAGGTAGCCATAGGCAACCTGTAAGCAAATGGATATGATTGTGTTTCAATAAAACTTTATTTACAAAACAGGCCACTGGCTTATGGGCTGTAGTTTGCCAACCTGTGATTTAGAGCAATAATTTTCAAACTTTTTTTGACATGGAACCCCTTCTGCAAGGAAAGTTTACATGGCAGGCTAGTCCATGAAAAGGATCAAAGCATAGTTGCTGTGGAGAAAAAGGAGGTAGGGAATCTAGGTACCCATTCCTCTTCCCCACCAGCCCTGAGGCACCACCATAGAATTACTAGGGGTCAACCAAGTGCAATTTGAAAACTTTTAATAAAAAGAATTCTTATTATACCTTTTTAATGGAAATTTTCAGTATTTCACACTTTCCTCCTTTCTTAAGTCAAATGTAATACAAAACAGTTGACTTCTTTAGTGTGACTATGTATAGTAATTACTTTAATGTCCTGGAATATATTCAGGATTTCCTATCAATTTAAGACCAAGCTTTTGATAAAGAGGTGGATAGCACCTCTTTAGAAAGACTACAGCTGTAGCTCTCAAACTTGTTAAACAACAGATCACCGGTACCCAGAGTGTCTCACCCAGTAGGTCCGGGATGGGGACCAGAAATTTACATGTCTAACAAGTTAGCAGGTGATGCTGACATTGGTCCAGGGACCACATTTTGAGAACCACTGGTCTATAGTTGAGGAAAATTTCATTTAACTCCATTCAGTAGGCAATTTATGACTACCTACTAACTATATCAGAAACTGCAGGGAGACAAAAGTGATGCACAGTACCTCCACCTGCCCTTGTAGGGAAGATAAAATAAGTAACTTTGAAATAGGGTGGAGTAAGACAGTGCCACAAAAAAGGGACATAATTCAAAGGAGAAAGAGCCCATCAGGCTTGAGGAATCAGGAAGGGGTGGCATTCAAGACAGAACTTAATGAAGTCGCAGGATTTCAACAATCCAGACAGGAAAGAGCACGAGGAGAAAACAAATTACTAGGGGGAAGGGATATAATCAGGGAACTGCAAGTAGTCTGGTTTAGAATACGGGCTATGGTAGTCAGTAGAGAGAGGCCTCCCATAGGGAACCCCCAGAATTTCAGGACAAGGTCAGAAAAAGATCACCCTCTGAAATAAAAGATAGTAAATACAGTCAGTATTTAAATACCTTAAGATAGTCATCCAAGAAAGTAATTCTGTTCAGGAAAGACAAATAAATGTGTTACAGATGGAAACTAAATTCAGAACGATGTTCAGTCTAGACCAGAGTATATCTAAAAAATCTGAAACTTAAGCAACAAGCAACCACTACTAAACGCAGCGCCGTGATCTGTATGTATAGAGAAAGGAGAACAAACCTACTAGAATTAGCTGGCCTGCTGTACTGTGAGGAGGAGTATATGTCCTGAGCAGCCAACAAGAGAATTCTGGTGCCTTTGGTATTAATATTTCTCACTCTAATATATCAACATATTGATGTTCTTTGAGTTTGTTTAGTATGAGTTTGTTCTGTAAAGGCTGATCATCTAAACAAGAACTATAGAGAATTCTAGAAGAACTTATTAGAGTGTATTTTTACACCTTCAAAGACATGAACTAGATTCTCTAATCTAGCAACATAATATCTTGCAAGGCTGTTACTCCCTTGACATCTTTTAAATACAACTGGTACATGTAGGACAGCAGTGGAAGGTCAATCTGTATTCACTTTGAATGATGCTAAGGAGTTTATGCTTTAAGCAAACACCAGAGAGCTCCTAAAGAAGAAAGGGATCTATTAGCGCTGCACGTTAAAAAGATTCATCTGGCCTTGTGTCTAATTTGAATTAGAGAAAACCAGTGGATGAGGAATACATAGTCCACCTGAGATGCACTAAGGAACATAGTAAGCTGGTAGCTGGCCACGGTGAGGGTATATATGAGTTATGTCCAGATAGGACAGAGGTAGCTATTCTCTGTTAAGCAAAAATGATGAGTTACAATACCTACTAGAAGAATAAAAATGAAATACATGAACATTAGTATAATTTTCAAGCTGGCTGATAAAAAAAAAGTGAATCTGGACTTCCCTGACACAAATGTTGAGAGCTAAATGAACCAATAGTTTGAAGTTACCTGAATAATAATGTGAATAATAATAATATAATAAGTGAACCAATAGTATGAAGCTAATATTGACAACTTCTAGCAGAGTATTTACATCTCTCTGTTAACTTGTATCAAAATCTCTAGATTTTGTTGTTATTCCAGGAATGAGCTCAGTTTACTTTTACTGAGGGCCCACTGGAAATGAGCATGTCAGCAAGCACTGGGGAGTTACAAAGTCAAAGAAGCATAGTTCCCAGGAAAACTTAAAGCCTATTGAGGAAACAGGCCTAAGAGTCCTTAAAAAATAATTTAAACAAAAAGAGAAGATACATTGCAAAGGTTTTTTAAACAAACAGCAACAACTGGCAATGGTTTTCACTACTGAACATCCCAGAGACAAATCAGAAAAGCCTATCTCTGCAACTCTTTCTTCCACAATGAGAGAGAACAGAGACTTTTGCTTGACACATGTATGCCTCCTCCCTCTGAATACAATCAGAAGTTCTGGGGTAACGTGTGAGGTCCTGGGGCACCATATATGGAATCAAAGCGCTACTAAGAGCAGTCCGTATAGTCAAGGAGATGGACAGGCACATTACAAAGATGCAACGTATATAAGGTAGCATATGCCAAAGGCCAAACAACAGATGCAAATAGCACTATAGGAAGTAAGAGGAATCCGTGCCCAACGCGGCAGGCAAAGCTTCAGTGATAAAGCAGGCCTTGCGCAGGACCACTGATCACTGAAGAGGAAGACAAGAAAATTCCAAGGGGGTGGCAGATCAATTATCCTTCAGGAAATACACACAGAAAAGGAAACAGTAAGGAGTCAAGTATTGTAATAGGGAAAATAAACACAGAAATATAC